ATGAGGGCTCCCCTCAGCCTCCTCCTCCTCACACTGAACACTCCCAGCTCCTTCCCTGGCTCCTCACAGGATTTATTCTCCAGGCCCTTCCCCAGCCTCGTTGCCCTCCTCTGCCCTCGCTCCAGCCCCTCGAGATCTCTCTCGTATTGAGGTGCCCCAAACTGGACACTGAGGTGGCCTCACCAGTGCAGAGCTCAGGGGGACTGTCACCTCCCTGCTTCTGCTGGTCACACTATTTCTAATCCAAGCCAGGATGCCGTTGGCTTTCTTGGCCACCCGGGCACACTGCCGGCTCATGTTCAGCTGCTTGTCAGTGAGAACCCCCAGATCCTTTCCTTCCAGACAGCTCCAGCCACACCTCCCCGGGCCTGTAGCCATGCAGGGGGTTGTTGTGGCCCAAGTGCAGGACTTGGCCTTGTTGAAGCTCATGCCATTTTACTCTCTTGCTCTTCAGACCTGGCAGCCTTCATCCCATCAACCCCCCAGTGCCTGTTCCTCACCCAGCTCTGCTCGGAATGTCTGTCTCATGCTCTTCCACTCAGGCTTGTCCCCCTCTGCCTCCTGCCGAACAGTCTCCACGATCAGGTACATGATGTTCAGCAGCACCCTGCAAAAAGCAGAAGGTCAGGCGAATCACCAGAGGTTGGGATGAGTTATGGAGGCACCACCAGCACCCGGAGCTCTGAGAGGGGGGGCTGGAGCAGCCCAGACTACAGCCAGCCTCCATGCGCCCACTCCACACCAGGAGATTGGCGCTCAGGCACTGGGAAAAAAGGTCTCTGCAAATCAAAGCAGGAAAAAATTGTTTTCCTGTACTTTACTGCTTTCATGTCCCCAACCAGCCACATGCCTGCTGTGCAGGCTGAGCACAAGGAGCATCTGCGGACTGAGCAGACCTGAGCACACCCGACGATGCTCATGGAGCTGGGGAAGAAGCTGGGACAGCCCCGGGACACCCTCTGGTGCTTGCTGGCCTGTCTCAGCTTGCCAAAGAAACCAGCAAACACTAGGTCCCCCTCCTCACCTCCCCGAGCAAACCCTCCCCCCAGGCCCTGCTCCATACCTCAGGTCCGTGCTGTCAGCCAGGGAGATGGCAGGCTTCCTCACAGCACTGCTGCAAGCCGCACTGTTACTGCGGAGGGAAAACAGCCTCAGAGGGGCCTTTGGAGACATTTTAACTCTGCCACGAGCAACACGCAGGCCAGAGCCAAACCCTGTAATAGATTTTGCTGCAGCAAGTCCTGTGTTCACAGTCAAGGGAGGAGGAATTGATCTGTATTTGCTGGCAGGCAGCAAGGCTCATAGGGAATTTCTGTATAAATCAGGCGTAATCCTACATTCTATATCCACCCAGAACAACAAGAGTCATTCCAGCGGCTGCAGGAATCAGAGTAGGGATAGAGAGACCAGGAACGGGACTGCCACAAACTGGAAAACTCCTGCCAAAGAGCTCCAGAGCCATTTCTGAAGTGCTTTCCTCACTACTCACTCAATCTCCATGTTCAGCAGCTCCACCAAAGCGTTGAACGTCCCCACTTCCAGCAAGAGGAAGATGTTATACCTCATCCAAGCCTGCACCTCAGCCTCGGAGCCGCACTCCCCAAACGTGCCTGCAACAACACCCTCACTGGATCCCACCTCTGCAGAGATCCCGAGGCCCTCCCACACTGCCAGAGCACTTTGTGGGGGGAATTACAACACACCCTTAATTTTAAGGCAAAAAGTCAGATGCATAGGACAGAACTGCCCACCAGTGGGTAACTCAGCCCAGGTCTGGCAGAGCCGGGATAGCACAGGAAAGTCAGCCAAATTTGGACCAAACTCCTATAAACTGCCTGGCTCCCACAAGAACAAGCTTCATTCCAGAAATCCCAGGTGAAATCAACAATACAAGGGAAGAAGATTATTTTTAAATATTTTAAATTGATAGCCTCCAATCCTGGTGTCACCTTGGGCAACATAAAGGATGGCTCGGGCAACCCTGAGCCTCTTCTCCCGTGCAGTGACCTCCAGCCCGTCGAGAAGCCGCATGGCGTGGGTGCGGTGCTGGTTCTTGTCCAGCTCGGTCCATTTCTTCTCCCTCACTGAAAAGCCAAAGCAGGCAGGCTGAGGGCACGGGGCATCTCTGCCTGCCCTGGACACAAACATCACTGGAAAAGTTCAAAAGGATTCAGCACTACGGAAAACAGAGCTGCCCCCAGGGAACACAGCACTCCTGGGAGCAACGCCCAGGCGTGATCAGCCGGAGGGACCCTCTCCTGCCTTCCGTCAGATGACTGGATGAATCACATTTACCCGAACCCATGCTGGCAGCCAGTGAGAAACGAGCTGGATGCTCTTGATGCTGCCAGTATGTTCCAGCACAGGCGTCCCAGTGCCAATGAACCACCTCGGCCATTGACATCAGCAAACACTGAACGCATAGGAGGCAACGAGCTGCACTCCAGAACCAGCCCACGCACGTTAACAAGGTCTCCAGGACAAACCACGTGAAGATTAAGCTTTCTGACACAGCACTAACACATCTATCCCCACATCTCCTTTGGGAGATGGCTGACCCTCCCTAGAGGGGTCAGAGGTCCAAGAGAAGGGTCTTACCGTGGATCCTAAAGTCCTCCTCAAAGCACTTGCGGTTGAGCAGGAACTCTGGCCCTTCTGTGTAGCTGTACAGCTCTGCCAAAAGAGCAGAGGAGAATCTCTAACAACATGCACCAAGGTGTTGGAGAAAGCTGCAACCTGGCCATGTTAATTGTAATTCTATCTAAGATGAGGGAAATGCAAAACACACACCCAGAATAAGGCTAAAAAAAAAAAATTGATATCACTTCCCTTTTAACATGAATAAGGTGTTTAAAGACAATAACAGAGCAATACTGGAGCTGACAGCTCCTTTAAGCACTACCAGGAAAGAAAATCATGGCTGATTAATTGATCCATCAAGATAAGTCCCTTACCAGAGAGCTCTGCTGCCCACTTGTCGGTATCTGCATATTCAAACTCCAAGTCTGGGGACTCCGAATAACCCTGAAAGCAGAGGAAGGATTCAGTTAAATTACAGAGTTTTTTCAGGAAAACCAAAATCCCCCAAGACATTCACAATTCACCTCATGCTCCCGCGAATCCAGGATTATATCTTCTGTTTAAGAGACCAAAAATGTACCCGCAGCAGCGTAAACGTTACCAAGGCAACTCCTACCCACCTCCTGCATCTCCATCCCAGCTCCGCCGCATTGAGCCATGCTGCGCTTCGCTGGTGGGCAGCCCCTGCCACTGCACCACCTCTAAAACACTCCGGGAGCCCCAAAAGGCCAAAAAATAAAGCAGGAGACGGGGTGTATTTAATCTCAGGGTGGGAGAGACTTATGGTGGGACTAGGGAGCTCCCAGAGCTCACTCATTTTGTACAGATGTGTAAAAATTTGGGCTATCCCCCCAAAGGGATGCCAGCAGATGTGATTAGTGAAAATGAAACTCCAAGCAGCTTCAGTGAGCCTGGAAAAACATCCAGAAGGCTTACAGCCCAAAACATCTGCTTCCTTTAAGACAGACATCGACGTGAATCCCCCAGCAAAACCCTCCCGAATCTTGGGGCACCTACTCCTGAACGAGGGGCAGATCCAGACCCCCAGATGCTTGACGGGTGGAAGGTCTGTGCTGCTCTGCAGGGCTGGGAGCCTTTTGCCAGCCCCCGAGGCTGCCGCAGCCCTCCTCACAGCCCTCTCCTGTCACTTCAGGGAGCGTCCCCCACCCTGGAGAGGATGCCCATGAAAGCCGATGGCTCGAGTCACCCCAGGAATGAAACCGGGTTTGGGGGGCACGATGGAAAAGCCAAGGGATCCATCAGCTCCCCCCAGGCCCATACAACTCTCCTGATCCCCCACAGCTCAGGGGTCCCCGCCAGGACCTCGGTGTCTCCTTGGAGGGGTCGGTCACCTCCCGCCAGAGCCATCCCTGGACCGACCCGAGTCACCGGGACCCGTCAACCCAGCCCTCGCCGCGCAGGGCCGGTACTGACCGGCAAAACCGGGAAGAAGCCCCCGGCCAGGGCAGTGAGAACCCAGAGAAGCCCTGGAAGGAGAGTGACCGGTGTCGGGCCCATGTAGGGGCCTGGGACGGAGCCACCCTCATGCCCCTGACAGGACAAACCGACCCGGACTTGGGGAAGAGATGAACAAGAAACCGGCACCGACCCGAGCCCGGCACCGACCCAGGCGGGGCTCTAGGCAAAGCCGGTACCAAACGGGCCTGGCAGCGAGAGGTCTCTCGGCTCCGCAGAGCTGCTGCCGGCCCGCACAGGCCCCGGTTTTGGGCCCCAGGGGAACCGGCACCGAAGCAGCGGCTCCTGGGGGAGCGGCCGGTCCAGAACCGGCCCGGGGGAAGGCGGAGCCCAAGCAGGGCGGGCAGCACCGCGCAGGTCAGGGCTGAAGAAGACGGCGGAGCCCACCGGCACCGCACGGGCAGGCCCCGGGCCCACGGCGGGGAGGACAACGCGGCCCGGCCCGGCCCGCCCCGCC